TTTTTTTTTTTTTTTTTTTTTTGTTGTTGTTGTTAAGTATGAATTAGAAAAGCATTGGCATAAATTTTTCAGAATTCTCGTTTCAAAGAGAAAACAAAGAAAAATGAATTGACAAAGTAAGTCTATTTTTTCCTTCACTATATTACGTTGCCTTTCCTTATTACTGATGCTTTCAAAACAGAGTTTTCTATAAATTTTTCTTTAAAAAATTTTGATAAAATGAGAAGAAAACTTCGACTGCATAATTTTGTCTCAAGTTTTCTTATTTTTTTTTTTTTTGGGTTGCTTCTCTCTTCCATCATATTTGTCTTGCATTCTGCTATTAATTAATGATCAGCTTTTTTCTCATTATTAATTTACTTCTTAATTCTTTTTTTCCCATCTGCTGGTCTTCTTGCCAGCTCTCAAATTAGTCTAACCGTTGATTACATATAACTAACTCAGTAATACTTTGATGCTTAAACAACATCAAAACCATTATTAATCTCCAGCAATCAGCAAAAGAAAAAGAACGTAAAGTTAAGAAAAACCTGATAGACTATAAAAAAGAATATTAGTCAAAGATTAGCAGTTAGCAATAAAAATTAAGTTTCTTTTAACCTTTATTATTATTAAATATTTGGCCAACAATCACTGTCGCCAGTGCTAAAACAAAAAGAATCCTTGTTTTTGAACAATTAAAACTAAGAACTTTTTTTTCTTTTTTAGCCAACAATATTGCCCTGCAAAAAATAAAAAAAAAACTAAAACGACTAATATTTTAAGAAAAAGAAAAATTAATGATTATACGTAACCGTGAAGTAATTTCAATAATCCTCATGCACTGTTCTGCTGTTTTGTCAATCACTTTTCCCCTATTCAATTTACTTTTTCCATAAGAAACAGATAAACTCGAGAAAAGTTAAGGTTTAGTAGATAAAATTTTCCTTGTTTTGCTCAAGATTACCGGCAGCATTTACTAAGAAAGCACCTTCTTGCACACCGAGATTCTTATTTTGATTTTTACTATTATTATAACTATTATTATTATTACCATTATTATTTTTATTATTATTTTATTCCTGTTATAATTTCCTTATAATTTCTGTTGACTTTTGTCATTGGTCCCATTTCTCATAACAAACAACAGCAGTAGTATTTACAATCAAAATGATGAATGTAAAAGAGTAGTAGCAGCAACAGCAACGACGAAAAAAAGTTGAGAAAAATTGCATGAAAAAGAAGCAAAAATGCAAGA